TATGACTTCTACAAGCCAAACTTATCTTCGGAATATCCCGAAGTTGACGGACCTGTGTCTGTCGTCACATACACTGGTGCCCTCGACAATGCCTACACCGCTTACCGCGAGAAGGTCGCTAGGCAGGCCAAGCGCGCTGGTGTTAGCGCCCAGCACGATGACCCCAAGTCTATCTTCAGCATCGACTCTGTCGACTACGCTCTCTTCCACAGCCCGTACGGCAAACAGGCCGTCAAGGGTCACGCCCGTCTCCTCTTCAACGACTTCCTCTCCAACCCCTCAGCACCTCTCTTCGCTAACATCGCCAACGCTGAGGCATACCGTGCCATGTCCCAGACTGCCTCTCTCAAAGACAAGAACGTTGAGAAGGACTTCATCACCGCCGGCAAGAAGTCCTTCGCCGAGAAAGTCAACCCTGGTATGGCTTGCTCCAAGAGACTTGGTAACATGTACACTGGTTCATTGTACGGTTGCCTTGCCTCTTTGGTGAGCAACGTCGAGCCCACTCAACTCAAGGACAAGCGTGTTAGCATGTACGCCTTCGGCAGTGGTTGCGCTGCCAGCTTCTTCGTCATCCGCGTCAAGGGTGACACCACTGCTATCAAGGAGAAGATGGACTTGACCAACAGATTGGCGGCAATGAAGGTTGTTCCCTGCCAAGACTTCGTTGATGCTCTTGCTGTAAGTCTTCATTTCGTGATTATACACACAGGTGTCTAACCTTTTCCTTCTTAGCTCCGGGAAAAGAACCATAACGCAAAGGACTTCGTCCCTGAAGGTTCCATTGACAACATCTGGCCAGGTGCTTTCTACCTCGAGAGCATCGATGGCAAATACAGGCGCAAGTACGCCAGGGCTCCTGTTGCTTAATTCAATACCCAGGATTATTGGAGTGTACGCTTGGAATGTGCATAGATTTAGACATACTTATACTCACTAGCTGTATTATCATCACGAATACCTCTATGGTTGTAATAATCCTTGCAAATTCAAATAAAAAAACATTGAAACTGCATTTTTGGGTGTGTGAACTTTTTGGCGAAGCTGGAAGTTGATGGGCGTTGAAGTGACTGCTTTGCTTCCACTTTGTTCATGCAAAATGAATTCGAAACCTGAATCAAGAGCTCCTCGAATAACCACAGGCCAAGGTAGCGCAAAGCCCTTTATACTGGCGAAGTCACGCCCATTTCTCCAACAAGAACGTCTAATCACACTGTCTGCAATGAAATTGTTCCTAACTTGCCCTATCATCCAATCCAACAGATCGACGTGATTTTTCCGGAAAATCCTACATTGGAATCACAACTATCTTCTCTAAAAACGCGATACGCAAAAGGGAAAGTTTCGCTATCCAAGCTAGCACAGACTGCGGCCGCACAACCTGGAGGATTCGTCGACTCTTTGGGCTACTCGAGGTATGTATTCCGCATCCGCAAACTATCAGTGTCACCCTTTCTTACATTGACAACGCTGGTAGTGATGCTACGTTGCTAAGTATCGGTCCAGCATGCAGCGGAAATTCATTTACAGAAGAGGATGTTTGGTGCATCGACAATCGGGGTGTTTTGACGCTATCAGTATGCGGGGACACGTATCAAACTCTGGGGCTCGTTGGGAAAAGGGTCTCGTTTGGGAAAGGAAAGGGCAAGCTGGGTGACGGGCGACATGGTACGCTGTATTCAATTAATTAATTGAGAACAATGAGCTTGGCTAATTGAAGTTTTCCTAGTACAGTTGTTTCCATACCACTCCAGCCTCATGTTGAAACAGAGAAGAACAAAGCGAAGCGAGACAGTGCTCTGACAGGATGGGAATCGAGGAGACAGCGGGAACAGGGTCTCTCCGCCGAAAGCCCGACCTGGCAAGTGTTATGTTCTTCGACGTCGGAAGGTAACCATATCGGCATGACTTTTATTATTTCTGTGGCTCAATGTTTTGCTTTGTAGACACCTTGTCTGCCATCGTCGGGCAACATCTCGCTTCCGCCACCGTCAAAGAAGTGGAATGTCAGAAAATGAAACGGGACAATATGAGGATTCCGGTCGTCAAGATACCTACACGGGCATCAAATCAGGATCCCGAAGCTATTGAAGATGAACAGGGATGGATCGACAAGCTTTTTGAGTGGGTTGGTATGGCAGGTTTTGGTTCTCAAAGGCGAGTTGTTTACTTCGTGGTTGCTTACATATTCCTGACTGATTGTGCAGATTGAAGGCGAACGACCGAGTCGATCCATTCGTGGCTGTATACGAAGCACCGACGCCGAACGTTGTCGGAACGATCACACATTTGCGTTGGACTGGTCTTCTTCATCCGTCCTTCGTCCAAGGAGTGATCGATTGCTTAACGTTCGTAAACAGTCTTGTTCACTGCCAACTTGGTCACCTAAAGCGTTTGCTATCATAGAAAAGATATTCAGCTAACAAAGACCAAAGAACCCCGGTTTGCCTCTATTACTGCGCATTCTTGTACATGGAGCCCAGTGTGCTACATTCCTCAGTCTGTATCCTCCTCAGCCGAGAACACGCCGGTTCGTGATCCAACAAGAGACGCTGAGGACTCTTGGTGTTTGGTCGTAGTCTCTGAGAAGGACGTCGAGGCTGGTGCCCAAGGTGAGAATATGGGATTTGGGTGGATATTAGCAGAAAGCATCGGAAAGCAAGACTCAAGATGGGGATGAGTGTTGTATAGCCCAGATCAACAAAAATGTTTGATAGTTTGGCAAGCGCTTGCTTTCTATCCTGCCATTCATGAGCTAACTTTGAGTATAGCATCATTTACTTGCCTCTTTCTCATTGATGATCCATGTTCTTTGTCGTGATTTCTTGAGAAATCCAGCTCAGTAAATCCGCGTTCAAGGTGGTTCAAGCAGATCATGAAAACCACGCGACTAAACATGAGGTGTGGTTCCAAGCACTCCCAACTCTGGAAAAGGTAGTTTCCTGGTTTGGCCACATTGGCCTACATACCGCGGCCGGTCAGTTTCTCGAGTGCTTGGACTGAGGACGCGAAGAATATATCTCGGTGGACTACTCTCAAGTCTTGAGAACGATTCACCCACCGAAGATGTTGCGGCGATCCCAAAGGCTTCAGCATGTTGCTAGTAAATCAGGGGCCGTATCTCCGACTCAAGAACAAAATAAATCGACTAGGAAAAGCATCGATGCGTCGAAAAGAGTAGTGCGTCCGCGTTGCTTTCATCAAGGAGAGGCAATCTAACTTCTGTTGGCCTTTAGTCGCGCAGGCACATATCCAATCGTATTCAGAGGAATGATTCTGAGCTCGAGGTCGCGCAGATGCTGCTGATAAACTCAGCAAATGACGCGAGTCTTCCTCTTCCTCGCAGCAGTGGCATATCAGATCAAGAGCGACCGGCTGCTGTCGCTTCTCGTGATAGCTCAGAGGCCACGCGAGCTTCCTGTGGCATCACAGAGCTAGCCCGCCTCTCGCGATCGGTGCCATGTGCGAGCTGGGAGAACAATGACGTTTTGAAATTTGGCCACGGACGCACGAGCTCGACGGTGTCCCCGCTTGAACCTGCTCCCGATTCGGAAGCTTCTGGCTATGACATTGTTCCATTAGGTTCATTGTCCTCTATTTCCGGAAGTCCTCTATTGGGGCCACAATATCCGAAGCCTATATATATCAACAGTGCCGCCGAGGCAGACTCATCTCTTTTGCTCAAAGTTTCTGAACACCATCAGCCTGCAACAACCATACAAAGCCCAAAGATGCTCGGACGACATTCTTCATTGCCAACTATCAATGCGCAGAATGCACGATATCATTTTCGATCGGGGCGCATAGTGTCGCGAAATCCTTCGTTGACCGAAATTAGCAATATGATTAGACCGTCAGAATCTGAAGACGATGAGCCAGTGAGTTCCTTGCCCGTTTTTTTCTTGCTTCATACTGAAGCGCGTGGAACAGGTAGCCAAACGTAGGCGACTTCAGTTGGGATCCCATCGAGGCGCAGTATACGACCCTCCGATTTCGGCGGACTCCCCTTTTGGTGGCTCACTTCCACCTCTCACACCTTCCCCATCACCTTCACCACACCTAGGTAGAGAAGGGCCGTCGCTGCCTACTCCTCGTCTTGAACATCGCCAATGCAATAATTCCAGCCCTTCTTTATCTCTTCGCCAGAGCTCTCAGTCCTATTCTGGCCTGCCGATCGAGGTTGAAATGCAGCAACTTTGCGAGGAACTGTACGGTATCCCTGCTCTCCGAACCACTGGTCTCGACCCCCACATCATTCAAAACAGTTTCGCTGGCAACTACCGTCTCTTCGTGGATGAACATAATCAGCTTACTTGTCCACTGAACGAGGTCCTTGTTCGCTGCCGCGTAAGCGATCCAGAACTCGAGGGCATACAGTGTTACATTCCTAAAGGCGCTGATTCTATTCAATGGGGCACACTTGGACATCCTGGCATGTTCTTCCCTCACTTCTCAATAGGAATGGGATGCACCGTCCTCCGTAACTTTCGTTTTGTCTATCACTGGGCCGAGGCGGATGGATCAGCAGGTTTCGCCGACCTTAGTCCAGCTGAGGCGGGTATCGCGCACTTTGGATGGTTTGGAGACATGTCGAAGAATAAGGACATCGTGTTCAATGCAGATGTCGTCCTTGCTGGGCAGGCTCAGTCTTGGGGTCATTTTTGGATGCAGCGGATTCAGGTGGACGGCACGGATGACGAGTTGTTCATCGGCCAGTTTTGGTTCAATGATTGTGACACGGGGTCTGGAGATGTACACTTTCCTTTCTACGCGATCAGGTGTTTGGCGGACAGTAATGCTTCTGAGCCTGGTCTTTTGGGTCAGAAGGATTTGGGGTGGTTAACAACTGTCATCGAATAGATTCTCTCTTTGCTTAAACGCGGTACCGGACAATTATGTATGGACTTACAATTCACCCATCTGTATATTATGCTACAAATCTTATGGACTATCGTTGTACAACGGGTTTGCGCAGAACCGGCAGTAAATACAAAAAGCAATTCCAATGCGGGGAATCGAACCCCGGGCTGCTGTGAACAAGAACTCGCCCTGATGAAAGACAGCAATGTTAGCCACTACACCACATTGGATATATGTAGTTTGTTTGCAATCATCTTTGGGTCCAAACATAAACGTAGTGCTATGATACCTCGTACTTAGTAGATTGTAAGAGTAGGACGTACAAACAGTTTAATGTAACCTGATAGCAAGAAGGACATGCGCTTATACACGACGGACGCGCTTTTGGGTACAGTGTTAGGTATGTATGTGTGGGGTATGTATGAAAGAAATGCGGTGGTATAGGAAGGGGAGGTAGCACAAGGTCGATCTAACCAACAGAGATATAAGGAATAAGCATAATAACCAAACCAAAAGCAAGAAAGTCTAGCCTTCTAGAGGCATTTTAGGTCTGCATATCCAAACCAACATCCGGATCCTACAACGCGACGAATTGCTCGGCACTCCTATCTAGACGTAGACGTACGACTTCTGGATCTGGTTCTGGACCAGGTTCCGGTGCTCTCAAAGTCTCTGTTTGCGTGGGATTGCGAGAGCGAAGTCGTTCCAACAATCCCGCGAAATCGTTCTCCAGAGAACCCATCTCCTGACCTAGTCTCCTGACGCTGGCACTATGGTCCAAAAGGAGCCTTACAAGATCTATAGCTTCTCTGGTCCGGGGTGGAACGCCCTCTGATTGAAGGGCACGGTCAAGAGAACGGGAGTTATTGGACCGAGCCTGATAGATTGCCTCCAGCTCATTGAGCGAACGCTGAATCCGTTGAGATAACGCCCTCGATGACTGGCGCTCTCGATCTTGCTCAGCGTCCTGTTCGCTATGCTGCCGTGGCAGAGGTGCTCGACTACCCGTGCTCATCATCGCCGGACGTATGGGCGAGCGACTTCTCTCGTCAGGTGATGATGGATTAGAGTGATTCGACGATCCTCGCCAGCCGTAGGACCGTGGTGACACACTGAGAGGTGGGCTAGGTTCAAAGGTCTCGCCCTGGGAGTTTGTAAGCCGCCTTCTCGGCGTTCCCATGGCCATAAGGGAAGGTGTTGTGGGAGACATTGTGATAGTCGTCGCTGGTGGTGGTAGACCAGGTAAAACGACATCCGACTCGAGAGGAGTCTGTGGTGATGATGATCTGGGTGTCGAAGCCTCTGATTCTGGATTGGAAAGGGGTAGATTGGTTGGGCTTGTTACGCGCACGGGCACGGTTCTGCGAATGGTTCTCCTCCACATTCCACTCTCGTCGCCAACGCTCGTCCAACCACTCACTGCGACTGCCTCTCCATCTCCTGGGGGTACTTCCACACTGTCTCTTGGTGGAATTGAGGATGAAATGAGGACCTGGATTTCGTCCCTTGTTTCTGTCTGGGGTTCAGGTGGTGCCAGGGGCTGCGAGGTGTCGATGAACCTCTCAACCTGGGCGTCCTCGAAGAATTCTTCTGAATCTGGATCGAAAGGATTGCTAATGCTCCATCTCTCGTATGGGCACTCTGGTTTTGGCTGAGAAGGGTTGAGAGGAGCGTGGCACGCGTTCGGGGAAGCGATTGCTGGTTGAGTGTAGGATTGGGAGAAAAGAGCACGACCCATGACTGTGAATTTGAGGAGAGAAGAGAGCAAGAAGAGTATTTGAGGGAGAGGCTCGGTGGGAAGACTTTGGAAAGACGCGTTCCTGTTGTAAAATATCAACCAACTGTCGGGGAAAAAAGCGGAGTTTGGGTGGCGGTTGCCTTTTATAGCAGTTTATTTGATCTCCACCCCAAATACCCGAATATCAATCAAAAGTTGTTGTGGCATCAAAGTGGCATTGTTACCAGATCTTTGTGTCTTCCATGTCAAATCCTTTCCCTACTATTCCACAAGGTAAATCTCCTTTTGACAGCGAGGGTATCTCGAACGCCAAGCACCGTGCCACAGTGACGAAGGGACTAGGAAATGCGGCCGTCCTCGGGCAACCATTTCCTGAGGGATTGGTCAATGAGCGAATGTATTTCCTCGCTACCTCCGACTATGACAGTGTGTATCGAAATGTCATCGCCATGCTCATAGCTGAGTTTCACCGACATTAAAATTCGAGTAGATGTATCGCTGAAGGCTGTGTGTCCCTCCAAAGCAAAAGGCTTGCGGGATCGCTATCCCCACAACACTGGGTGCATCTGGGTTCATCTAGCTGTTCAATAGCTGTCGGAAACAGATACCGGACCGCGCGAACTACCGTCCCACTGTTGAATGACATTAGTTCGGTCTCGGAGAGAAGACACTACCGTTCCCACCTATTTCTTCTCATGACGAGTGCATGTTCAAACTTTGCGAGCACATGAGCAAGAGTTCCTGACGATCGGCGCTCTACAGAATAGGTATATCCTCGGATGGATACCCTCTCTCGTTGCTCGACGACATGTAGGAACTAGGAGGGTCAGATTCACGTCGAAAGCAACCAGTTGTTGGCCAGTTGCTACTCGCCCAATTCCGAGATCTTCGTATGATAAATTTAATCTGGTCAGACCCACAGGTAGCTTTTGAGGTACTGGGTACTCTGTGTCGTATGGGGCGTCGATCCCAAGGTCCTGCGTAGATGTGGGTACATCTGGGGTAGCTTGGTAGCTTTGACTTCCTTAGCGGCTCCGAGAGATCAGGAGCACTCAAAATAGACCCACCGAAGGTACTGTTGAGTTCCCGAGCCGTGGAATTAGGCGAGATGTAAGCAGTCTGAGGCTGGCGGTGGCGCAGAGATAAGGTGTATGGGAGATAGTAGGAAATCGGAGTTCCGAGCCAGTAATTGAAGGACTCTTGCTCTCCTGGATGTTGAACGTAGCCCTGACGCCAAATGTCAGACTTCCCAGAGGCTAGAACACCGGAAGAACCAGTAGAGTGCCCTAAAAATCTTGCCAAGTCAAGGTCTTTTATTATCCTGACGCCGATCCGTGTATTGATGTCTCCGCGGTACAATCATCCCGAGAAATTAGGATGTCCGGCGGAAACTATCCACGTGAGGACGTGGAAAGGTGATGCGGTACTGTAGGAATTCGTTCAGCGGTACTAGTAGCGACCTCGATGGCGACGGCTGAGCTGAGTACTGAAGCTGGGGCTTCCTGCTTGTAGGAATTGCTCGAGATAATACGGCTAGCATATACAATGTCTTTTCTTGAGGCAGGATTGGCGAAACGATTGGCCCACGCCTCGGATTTGTTGTGCATTTTACATATGAGACGGAAAAAGGATAGGCAGCCTAAATAAAGCACTGAGAGCATTTTAACGATATGATTGACAGCGGTTTTACTGAAGCACACCTGTAGCCGTACCGTGATAGATGCGTGAAAGGGACAAGCTTTGTTGTAGGCAGATGGACGTTGACAAGAAAGAAGGCGCAGGTCCGTGCGCATCCCACGTGTAATTACAAAGCGCCCGTCAGGCGCCTGGATGACTTGAACCGTCTCTTCGATGTTCTCTATCCGTTGCTCAACCACCGAACCTCTCAGTAAATTCGAATGGGAACTAGAAAAGGAGAGAAAAAACATTGTCAGTATCTTCTTTCACTCGTAACCCTCGAATCTCCGAGAAATGACTGTCTAGATTAAATAATATATTGCAAAGTCGGCCAGTAATACACCACAGAACGTTCGCGTATTTGACCCACGCAATCCCAATATCCCATTAAATTGAAGAAACTCTCAGACAGTCAACAAGGCACCCATCAAAAGGCCGACTCCTCCCAACAAAACACTAGCTTTCAACCCAGCAACACCGTTGTTTCCGCTTGCTTCGCCTGACTGTGTAGGCCCTGCCACGCCGCCACTGCCGCTGGATGAAGGGTTAGTGGGCGTTGATGAAGAGCCTCCGGATGTGGCGGTCGAGGTAGAGTTGTCTCCTTCGGATCTGATTCGCGAGTTAATTTGGGGGCTCTAATGAGAAAACAGAGATATTTCACTCACTCGACGACGGCATAGTCAAACAAGGCGACTGAGTTGAGCTCGGTGGACTCGAGTTTCATCGAGAAGCTACCGGAACAGAGTCAACATCATGAATTGGTGGCGGAAAGAAAGACGAAAGCGTACTGGTGCTCCTTGTTCTCGAGATCCTTCAATGCAACAACAGAAACGTTATATTGATATTCCTCGGTGAGTTCTTCGGCCCTTTTGATATAGGGTTCCCCTGCAGGCTGACCATCGAGTTCGAATGTCAGACCTATCAGAAAGCGTCAGTGACTCTGCTTATACCTTCCTTGAAAACACGAGACTCACTGTAGTTCAAAATAGCCTGTACATCTTTTGGTGGCAAGATGCAAAACACCTCAAGAGCTGAACCCGTAAAGTTGATTTGCACAGCCGTAGCATTGGTGTCCTCGACAAAGTGTGTGGTGTCGTGCCATGTCCCTTGGTATGCCTTCGAAACGTCGGGCTTGAGGTTACAGGTATTGCAAGTATTGCCTTCTCCCCATGAACCGACGTAGGTGATGTTTTCGTATGCAGTGTCATCCAGAATAGCGGCTTGGACTGCACCGCTTAATGGGAGGAGGACAAGAGGAAGGAGAGCGAAAGGAGTGTACATGGTGGTGAAAGAGTGTTGAGGGGGAGAAAGGGGAGGCGTTGTCGGGGAGAATGGTTATGAGTGAGCGCCATACTCTCGTTATTGCATCTTTAAGCGAGTGATATTCGTGCTTAGCCCCGTATGGATTGGCAAAAATCATTGAAATCGAAAACAGATTAAATCAATCACGACACACCGCCGATGAGAAAAGATGCGACAGGAAAGGACAGGAACCGATCCTGACCAATTCACCAGATGGCGGCTCACTTCTTCATTCTCACCCCTCCGCGAGTATACTGTTCCACGGTTTCGTCTGTTGGTTTTACTGATCATCATCTTCATTATTCCCTTCCAATCATACTTAGAAGCGCTATGTTCACTTGATCCCGGTGTTCATCAAGACGAATCATATGGGATCCGGCAGGGGTCCGGCCATTCACGGTGGTCAGGCGAACATCTTGACTGGAGACCGGCCTGGAGTTTGAAGTCCCTGTTCAGGCGCTTGTTTCAAACTTTAACTACTGCCTAGGTATGTTGTTATTGTCTTTCCAGCAGTTCGCAGCTTCTCTGATCCCATCTTTGGTGGCATTCTTGAAAGGATATCGAAGGGGATCGCCTGAATCCCCTTGTACATTGTTCGACTCAATATCAAAGAAAATTACAACTCAGGTATTCAAGAGTGCGCCCATAGCCAGCCCGAGACCCCCAAACCAAACGCTCGCTTTCATACTAGGAGCTCCGTTGTTTCCATTTCTAGAGCCTCCAGACCCTGTTATTGTAGGTCCCGCTACGGTAGCGGAGGTAATGAATGAAGGGCCGACTGGCGTCGATGTCAAGTTCTTCGAGTTGTCTTCGGTCCTGAATGCAAATTTAAAACAAAGGCTCCCAAGACAAAGTACAACATCGCTTACCCTACCACAGCGTAATCGAACAAGACGACGTTGTCGATCGCGGTGTCAAGCTTCATCGTAAAACTGTCAAAGTGGCGTCAGAATCACTAGGCAAGTATAGGAAAGGCTGCAAGAGCAGGCAGTACTTATGTTCCTTGTTTTCTAGATCTGTCAAAGCGATTACCGAAACGTTGTACTGATATTGGTCGGTGAGGCTTGCAGGCCCTTTCGTGTAATTCTGCCCTGCAGCTTCACCATCGAGTTCAAACGACAGGCCTATGCGAGGTAGCTGGTAAGGAGCTTTGTTTTGATCGTGTAAAATCACAGCGCTTACTGTATGCCAATACTGCATTCACGTTGTTCGCAGGCAAGATGCAGAAGACCTCCAAGGACACGCCGTTGAACTGGATCTGCAATGCAGCAGGATCTGATTTTCCCTGAAAGTAGGTGAAATCATGCCATGTCCCCTGGAAGGCTTTGGAGGTGTCTGGTTTGAGGAAGCATTGGTCGCAGGTGTTGCCTTGTCCCCATGCCTCGACGTAGGTAATCTCTGATGCAGTGTCATCGAGGTATACGGTATGGTTTGCCCCATGGGCGGAAAGGAGGAGAAGGGGAATGAAAGCAAGACTGAAGAGAGCGTACATAGCGGTGACAGAGTGCGGAGAGAAGGGAAGTGTGTTCTCGTCGTTATTTTTGCTGATAGATTATAAAAGCCAGATGTTCCCGTTCTTGATTCAGTGATTGATTGTTCAACAATAGGCGTCCACCATCCTTATAGCGATGCGTCCTTACTCTTCTCAGCCTCCCGATAGAGTTTGAGCAAAGTTTTATCCTGCTGATCCCATTGCATCCAATAGATGGGACTTCGGCATGTCCAATGTGGTGTAGTGGCTAACATTGCTGTCTTTCAAGCCTGCTCTTGTATGGTGGGTGCACAGCAGCCCGGGGTTCGATTCCCCGCATTGGAAGTCATAGGTGGATGTTTGTGGGCTATATAATTTTGTTTCGCATTCGATAGAGTACTAAGTACATACATAATTCATCAATGATTAGAAGGAGTATGTAACTGAGGATGTACTTATCTCATTTTGGGTGCTCACTGCTCCCGAAGTTCCCATAGACGCGTAGCTCACGTGTTTCTGACGCACCTTTCTCCTTTGCTGCGATGACAGACTCTGCAACAAATGGCTCGCAATCCCCAAATCCATGGCAGGATGCAGAATCTTCTTCGAGTTCAAAGCCATTGAATCGTTTAAAGACTCCGGATCCTTCAACTCTTGATCCAAGCGTCACTGCTTCGCTTGCTAGCAAGCCTGAAACCGAGCCTTCACCAACAGCACCAGTTACACGGACAGAAATCCTAGATGAATTCGATCCTTTAGCTGATCAAGCGCAGAAGGCATGGGAGAGCGAGGAAGGTCATCCGCCATCGGTGAATAAAGTTGGCGGGCAGGATGAGGAGAAAGGGAAGCAGAGGCAGGACGCAGCAGCTATACCACCACCGCAGTCACGGACACCATCTCCAGCAGCACCTCCGAAAGACAAGGAATCTGCTCGAGAAACACCGTCTGCAGCAGCGGAATCTCCATCCTCTCCATTTCCATCATTAGCCGCACTCGCGAGATCGTTCTCAATTCCGACGATGCCTCGACCGGCAAGACCTGTTTCCTTGGACATGGCGAAACCCGTACCCAGTCCAAACACTTTGTCCAAGTTTGCATCGCAACAGGGTTCAAAGGCTGGAGCCGAGTCGGAAGCGCAGTCGACGTCGCCTGCGAAAGATGCTCAGGAGCAAAGTGGGAATCTTAGTGGTAGCGGAAATGAGGGCGGAAATGAGGAAAACAGTGGCAATGGTGGAAATGGAGATCCTCCATTTGATTTCCAAAAGTTCCTGGACCAGATGAAGATGCGTTCTGCTGAACCTGTGGCGAAGTATCTCAAATCGTACGTGTTCACTCGGTACACAGCACTCTGCTCATTTTCTAACGCCCGAAACTCCTAGTTTTTTGAGCAACTTTGCCAAACGAACATTCACGACAAGTGACCAAATCAAGATCATTAACGACTTCTTAAATGTACGTCGATATCCTTACACACTTTACAAATCTTCACCGACGTGCATACTCTAGTTCATTGCCAAACAAATGCGAGAATGTGACGTATGGAGAAGTGCGTCCGATGCCGAGTTCGATAATGCTATGGAAGGAATGGAGAAGCTGGTTATGAACCAGTTGTATCAGTTGTATGTCTTATCAGTCCTCTCAGGCCATCTTCGCATACTCATATATATATACCCCTTCATAGCACATTCACGCCAGCCATAGCGCAAAGTATACCTCGACGACAAATTACAACGGATGATCTAGAACGCGATCGCGTTTTGCAGCAACGAATAGCATTGTTTGGTTGGATAGAAGAGAAACATTTGGATGTGCCAGAAGGCGAAGGAAGCAAAGGTTTCCTGATGTTTGCTGAGCAGGGTGCACTCGTTTGATCGCGTTCTCCTCATATTTCTGACCAATCTTTGATTCAGAGTTGCTCAAGATCAATCACTACAAAGCACCGAGGGACAAACTCATTTGTATACTCAACTGTTGCAAGGTTATCTTCGGTCCGCCTCTCTCCTCCTTTGTGTGCTTCGCTTCCCGCTCCGAGTCCCACATGTTGTCGAAGCAGCTCTTACTGACTTGGATCACTTTCTTTGTGCCTTGCAGGTTTAATACGGCATCTGCACAAAGAAGAAGGCGCTGATTCGTTTGTGCCTATACTGATCTTTGTGGTCTTGAAAGCAAACCCAGACCATTTATTATCGAATGTCGAGTATGTTGTTACTTTACTTACTATTGGCGCAGTACCGACAAGTGGCATTGTAGATTCATCAACCGATTCAGAAACCCCGAGAAGCTACAAAGTGAGGCAGGCTACTATTTGTCGAGTTTGGTGGGCTCGCTTTATGAACGTTTACTACGGTGAAGGTGCTAATGACCACTGCAGATGGGCGCTGTGTCCTTCATTGAAACAATGGATCACACTTCGTTATCGAGCATCACCCAGGAGGAGTTTGAAAGGTTTGTCCAGATAGTCGTATTCTTCTCGACTCTGGTGTTAATGCAAACTACGACAGGAACGTCGAGGATGCCATACAAGCTCTCCCGGCTTCCGAACAATCATCTCCATATCTGTCCTCGTCATCTTCATCCAACGCATCCTCTATTCAACCACCGACCCGTTCTTCTTCACTCTTCTCGCCGACATCTAGTCACGCGGGTGAAGAATCTGCGCAACCCTTATCCTTACCTGCACCTCCACCCACTAATCCTGCACAACTTCTTGGCGAAGACGCCAGAAAGCTACTCCAGAAAACCGGTGATACCATTTCCAAACCGCTCAACGCACTTAGTAGGATATTTAATGAGGCCCTGGATTCCCTGGAAGCCAATACAAGCTCAAACTCCGGACGTACGACACCCACAGGCGGACGGATTAACTCATATTTACCTGGACCATTTGCACCCTTTGAGCTCGGCCGCTCAACGAATACACCACAGGGGCAAGGTCATCCGCCCAATGTCCCTCACTGGTCGCATCCTGAAGAGGTCAAGAGACATACGCAATCACAGAGCATGTCATTGCCAACCTCGAGGTCTCAGTCACCTGGGTTATATACACCTGCGCATCAGGGCGAACAGCAACCTATTCCCATTCAGACACCTTACAAACCAAGGGTCAAGCGAGTACCATCACCCGCTTCTTGGTCAGGGTCTCCTGGTTCCAGCTGGGGAGGCCCTGTTAGTCCGGGATATTCGGTGGACGACACGCCTACACGGCCAGTGAGAGGCCCATATACGAATTCGCCGCTTGCAATGGGGCCGTCCCAGCCATTGTATCAACAATCACCAACTTCTCCGTCACGCCTAGCTCATGCCACGATATCGAGAACGCCGACACCGTCTCTTGATCTGACGGGTATGCAGGCTGAGATTGACAATGCGCATGAGCAGGCAGCGGTTGCATCGAAGGAGACATTAGCGCAGATATTCCCTACGATGGACAAGGAGATTTTGGAGCTGGTGTTGGAGGCGAACGAGGGCGATTTGGGGAAGAGTATCGAGAGCTTGTTAGAGATGAGCTGAGCGTATAACCTAGTATGTCTGGATACCTTTGTAGACTCGTATGGATCGAAACAGACCTCTTGGAAAACTCTGAGCAGTCGGGCGCTTATCGAGCGCTCAGAAATCAAAGGCCCTTGATTGGGCAATTGGCTTCCACGCTCAATTGCGGACACACCCGGGTTGTCTGACTTCAACACCTGGTCGTTGTACACCTCTGTTCACGCCGTAAAAACTCGAAAAAATGTCGGGAGTTTCTTCCTTCTTCTCTTCTTTCTTCCCCACCGTTCACAACGACTCTGCTGAGGACAAGCCCGAGGAGAAGAACGAGCAGGTCGAAGCCAAGGAGGAGCCCGCTGAAGAAGCCGAAGAAGCTGAAGCTGAGGAGGAAGAGGAGCCTGAAGATGAGCACCCCCAGATCAAGGAAGACTGCCAAAACTCGGCCAAGTGTGCACAGCTCACGAAGCACTTTGAGCACTGCCAGGAGAAAGTCCAGAATGGCGAGGGATTCAAGGGAGAGGATTGTGTCGAGGAACTGTGAGTTCAGCACTAGCTTTTCTTCCTAGCTGATTCTGATTTGTGCTCTTATAGCTGTATGTGATGCTAAATTGCTCATACTTACCTTTTGCTGACCTTGGCGAACGCAACTTGTTACGCGTCTGCTCCTTAGTCCAGTATGTTACTTCGATTTCTCATCGAGAATAGCTAGCTCACTACCATTCTTTTCAGTATGATGCATTGTGTTGATGTATGCCGCCCTCATTCTCGTTTCCACTTGTGTACTAAGACTAACATTGCAGGAATGTGCCGGCCCCAAGCTTTTCACTAAGCTGAGATAGATGTTTGCTCTAGGAGATGAAGAGGTTGATAGGTGCGTTAAATCATTGCGTGCCTATCACCACAGAGACCCTGACATGGCCTCTACAGAATGGTCGTAGAAAGAATGTTTTAATCGCCACCAAGCGTTTGTTTGTTCAATCGCAATCCATTTACCTTTTCCTGTTGTTTGCTCGTGTCCGGTAGTGTTTAAGCGTGACGACGTATGCTGGTACAGGTCGTCCCACCATCTCCTGTAGAGGGCCTATTTCCCTTTCTCCCCGAATTCCGAAGCCTCATGGTAGCTCTCAATGTCTATTCTATGTTCATCACACGAGTTTCATAGGCCTCCAGGCTCAGATTATCTCCACTGGGGGTGCATTCCGACATGCTGAATCTTCGGTGATGACCTGGCTAATCGAAATCTAACGTTAATACGTGTCAATGTTCCGCCTTCCCAACCCTCGAAAATGGTCTCGTCAGGGTATCGCCACTTCTACCCTTCAAGCTTCAATGGTGCTACTCCATCCCAAATGCACCAGAAATTTGAAGGTATACGACGTCTTCGATCAAGTTGCCCATTATCGTGCAATATGGCACGTTAACGGTGTGGCAAATCTTGTGCGGCCTCCTTAAGAAGTCGGAGGCCATACTTACTTAAAAGGAATGATTCCCGTAATACTCTGGAGTGTGAGGCTGCTCTACATGTACTAGAAAGCAAGCCTTTGCTTACGATGGGGATCTGAGCATATCTCAACTTGAGGCCCCAGGCGGGTCGAACAACATCAATTACACAGGAAACTCAGAATACACTGTACATTATGTGCAAGAATCACTCTTGTGCCTATCATAAAGACACGCGTTAGCCAACAGAAGCTCCACAAAGAACTAATAGACTAACCGAGAATCAGGAAAGGTTAATGGCACCAGCCGTTGTGTCGAGGGTTCGTGACGGAAGGATCACCTCTTGGGTGCGACGCGAGCCCAAGTACGAATACTCGAACCGAATTCTAGTACTAGGTGGAAAGGTTAACACCTTGCAT